ATGCCTGGTTTAAAATTTATTTCTTCCATATAATATGAGATTATTAAAGGCACTCCTATTACCTAAAAAATTTCTCACCTTTTTTACGTACGTCAAAAGTATACCATCCCCATAAGATTTGATTGTATACTTCTGATGGTGAAACACGTAGAGGTAAATGATATATGTGTAAAAAAATACATTCAATATTTTTATCATTTTTTGAAAAGAAACGAGTTCTAATGGTTTTTTGTTGTTTGCGGGAAGCTTAAAAGTTTTGTTAGCAATGATGTAAGGAAGAAAGAAAACAATTGTGTTAGACAGTTTGTTGAAATTGAAATTAGAAGAAGCTGAAGCTTCTTGGTTTAAGGATCTGTATAATAACAAAAGCAACAACTTTAGCCTGAAAGGCAGAGGTTAATAAACTCACGCCTTGAAGTTTGTTGCAGAGAGAGAAAGATGTAAGGGATAAAAGAAAGATAATGTCATGATATGAATGAATGATCTTAATCATCCATCTCTTTCACTCTCTCTCTCCAATCTCTTTCTCTCTCTCATATTTAGTTATATTAACATTACGAGATATTAGGCATTAGAAATATCACGAAAGATTTTTGCAAAAAATTTTATTGAAATGAGAGATGGAGAAAAAAACATTAGAGAACATTATAGGAAGCTTTGAGGAAGATAATACAAGAATTAACAATAGATTTGAGAAGACTAGCGAGATTGTTGAATGATATAGAGGGTTCAGAAATTGGTATCAACAGTAGGAGTAATAGCAATAGCATAGCAATAGCAGTAACAGCAGCAGCAGCACCAGCGTTAGTTTACATCTGATCATCCGATCCATCAGTGTACATCTACCACTCCACACTGACTTGACCGACTTCTGGAAGTAGCACAGTGCTCCTCTAGAAGATATTCCACTTATTTCATAGAACTTCTGCAGTAACTATTTGGAATATCAAAGAGAAAGAAAAAGATAAAATAAAATAACCTGTAAAATATTGGCGATACCAAGGATTTTTGGTAAGATAGAGGAGCACTGTTCAACGGAATCTTTATAACTTTCAGGTAAGTTTTCGGGTTTTTTTTCACATCAGTCCTTTCATATAAATAAAGTATTCCAGAAACTTAACCTTATTACTCTCTAATTATCAGACTACAGCGTTAATTTGATTTCAATCGTATTATTTATCATGTATTTTTTACAACAAATTTCGATATCAATGATTATATTTTCTTAAATTATCTAATTATTAAATTACTTTTATGTTAAATTATCTTTTATATTCGAGTAAATTTTGGCGAAGAATAATGATAAATCAAATTACTGAAATTGACAGTGATAATTTTATCCTAATATATTTTACACATTTTTATTCATATTTTGCCATCTTCTCATCGTAAACAAAAATAAGCAATTTTATTTACTATCTGTTGCAGATATATTCGCATCTAGTAAATTTGAAAATTTTTGCCATTTACTTTTCTGAACACTTCTGCCGTATAGTTTTTTAAAATGCTCTCCAATTTCATTTCGGAATTTTGCTCTGTTTTTCTTTTCGTTGAAAAAAGATATTTTAGGTAGATTTCTTTTTTGTTGCTTTAAAAATTTCGTTAAGTTTGTATTATCGCCTAAGCTTAATAAGACTGTCATCTTAATCAACGGATAGGTGCTGCATTAGATTATATTACTTACTTTTGTTAAACTCATATGATTTCATACATATTTTTTCTTTTGGCCAGATTCATTCTCGAAAGTAAAGTGAACTTTTAAAAGTGAAAGTTTCTTCTCCGAATAATTTAATTCTATCTATGCTCCATTTTTTTCCCACATATTTTATTGTTTTCTTTTTTCAACTATTTCACTAAATTATTTCAAATATATGAAAGTGAGGATTGTTACCGGAAATTTGAGAGGAAGTTATAAGATGATGTTGCTACTGTTGCAGTTAGAAATAAGAAGTGAAGTTTGTTGAAGGAACAGAAAGATGAGGAAAAACGTTGTCAAAAATTAGTAAGCAAAGATTGCAGTAATATCATAAAGCTAAAGAATGAAAAAAAAATAGAGACTAAAATAAAATTTGAATTAAAAAGAAAAGGGAATAGATCCGATGATATTATTCAATTTAGGATTAATGACATTTATTGAAGCTGATCCAAATTCTGCTCATTGAATGATCGCAAAAAACAATCAACAAATTTATACAACAAAAGATCCACATTGAAATTATCTAAATATCATTCTCTTGAAGAATATATACTTCTTTTCTTTTGAATAATTCAAAGAAAGGTGTGATTTATTTACCTAAGACTTTTTCACTGCTTTATATTAGTTTATTTAACAACAAGCAAATATTACGAATTTTTTATATTTTCATCTTATTCTTCCTGTTTTTAATTTATATTAAAACTTATCGTTTACTGATTAGATCGAATATTATTTTTGCATTCTTATCGCATTAAATAGATTTTTCTTTCTTTCTTTATTCATTCCTATATCTTTATTTCAGTCTTCGGATTTTCTTATAATGTTTTTTTTCATAAAATCCATTTCATCTAAATTCAACTGTTCAAGCGTTCAGCAATGATAATTCAGTAAATACTAATCAATGACATTATGAAATTATACGTTATACTTACTCTCTGCGATATTAATTTCCAAAATATATTATATAGCATTATTTGTTCCTTTCTGACGTTATCTCTACTGAAATTTTTATCTAATAATCTTCTGAATGTATGACCTATTTTACAGATAGATAAAAGTAAATTTAAAGAGGTCAAAAATTTTATCTTTAGTTATCAAAAATTTTCAAAAAGTTGAATGAAAAAAATTGGCTTTTAGTTTTGTTTTTTATAAAGTTGTAATTTCAATATTATCCTCCGACAATATTAACAGAAAGAAAGAAAATGGTTGAAACTTTTGCTTCCGTCTCAATTTTGCAAAAAAAAAGCAAAACTTTGCAAAATGAGTTTGAACAATTGGAAAATTCAACTTATGAAAACTTATTCATCCACAATAAAAGTACAATTACTATCGCAGTATCTCTTCGTTCCTGCAATTTTGTTTGTATTAGAAAGTTGTTTAAGTTGCATCAATTTTTGTATCATCATATTTGTCCTGAATTTTCAATAAGACGAAAAAGTAATAATTATAATTTCTCTCTATCAAAAAATTGCTGAAAAATATGAAGCTTACAAATTTCGTTATTTGAACCAATACACAAATTATGATTTGAACCAATACACAAATTATGATTTGAACCAATATGCAAACTATGATTTGAACCAATAGACAAATTATGATTTGAACCGATACACAAATTATGAGTAGGAGTTATATTTATAACTCTATTACAGTAATATGGATTCTCTAAGTATACAAATGCCACGAAACTATGAAAATCTGAAATTCACTTCTCTTATTCATTTTACCATACCTTTCCGCTATAAATCAAATTAAAAACAAATTTAGTAAGCTTAATAAAATCTTTTATTGATCTAATAGTAGTAGAAAGAACAATTACAATTTTTAAAAATTATTCAATTTAAAATTTTAAAATTTCCAATAAATTTTTTAATTATTTCCATTTATGTTTATGAGTAATATAGAAATTTTTTTGACTAAAATATGGACAAAATGAAAGAACGTCGAATTTATGGTAATATAATACAGCCTAAAGATCCATTAACTATTTTTATTTAGTAAAACTGATAATAAGATAAAAATTTTCCTCCAAACAAATTCCAGATATATATCTTAAATGTATCTAGCTAAATCTAAAATGATTTAATTTGTGTGAACTTTTAAGAAATAGAGATTTTTTATGGAAGAAAAGGTAAATGTTGAAGAACTAAATGTCTTGATTACTAAATAACTATCTAGATTACTAAATAACTATATCTAGATTCTCGATTAATAACTATATCTAGATTCTAGATAATATCTAGATTACTAAATAACTATCTAGACTACTAAATAACTATATCTAGATTCTAGATTAATAACTATATCTAGATTCTAGATAATATCTAGATTACTAAATAACTATCTAGACTACTAAATAACTATATTTAGATTCTAGATTAATAACTATACCTAGATTCTAGATAATATCTAGATTACTAAATAACTATCTAGACTACTAAATAACTATATTTAGATTCTAGATTAATAACTATATCTAGATTCTAGATAATATCTAGATTACTAAATAACTATCTAGACTACTAAATAACTATATTTAGATTCTAGATTAATAACTATATCTAGATTCTAGATAATATCTAGATTACTAAATAACTATCTAGACTACTAAATAACTATATTTAGATTCTAGATTAATAACTACATCTAGATTCTAGATAATATCTAGATTACTAAATAACTAAATAAATAAATCTAATTAAATATATCTAACTAAATCTAAAATAATTTCATAGTTTTTTAAATTAAAAAAAGAGACTTGCGGTGAATAATAATATATAATTATTCCTAATTTTTTTTTAATTACACGAATTAAAAGTTAAATCAATTAAAAATTAAAAATTAAATCAATTTAATTTTCAGACGAACGATACGTTGATTTTTGTCAAAAAAAAGAACAGCATTTGGTGTGAAATAGATTAAAGGCGCTGGTGCGCCACAAAGCGCCAAAAGGTATCCGTGCAGTTATGATTATCTCATGTAACTTTATTTTTAAGGCTGCCAATGTTATCAATAATAATAATATAAATTATTAATTTATCAATGATAATAATCAATAATAATAATAACATATCAATAATAATAATATGAATTATTATCAGTAATAATAATATAAATGACTTTAAACTAAATAACAGGAATTGATTAACGAAATTTCAATAAAACAAATAGATTAATTTGGATAAATTCTTTTTAAATAAAAATTTGGTTCGTAGAAAGAAGTCGGTTAAGAAGTGAGAGGACGATCGAACGTAGTTTCACCGTGTGTATATGTGTGCGTACGTGTGCGTGTTTGTGACGAAAAATGGATGAACGAGAAAAGTCACACAACAAAATAACCTCTAATTCAGAAGATTCTATAAAGTAAGTATATGTTTTACATTCAAGATAAGTATACGTGTTTTACGTGAAAAAATAATGCTCCTACAAATTTTTATTTTCATTCATAAAATGAACAGGAATCGTTAAAATGATTTAGTCATAAAAGAGATCCGACATATTTGACCTCAAAATATTTTACTGTTTCTTTTAAACTTTATAAAATTAACTATAATAGAAATGATAACAATTAATTGTAGATTTTAATTTTGTAAAATTAACTATGATAACAATTAATTGTAGAATGGAGGAAACAACAGATGAAAATTGGACAAATGTTAAAACAATTTATCAAAATGGGCCAACAGCTAATTCATCAATACTTGATAAAAATGATAAAGATGCTGTTATTTCTTATTCAACAAGTAAGCTATAATATTTTTAGTTTCCTAATGAAATGAATAACTATTGGAGGTGAAAAAGTTAGGATGAACTTTAAAATTTTTTTGTAAAGTTTATATTAAATTTTGAACGAATTTTTTTGCTTAAAATTTTTTGTTTAGAAAGTAATTAAATTAATTAATTTCATCTTCGATATTTAATTACAATGAAAATTTCTTGCAATTCTCATTTTATCTATGATTTTAATTTATCGTTGAATTTTTATTAAGCGATAAATAAAATGCATTTTGTATGAGATGCAATAAATTTTGCCGAAATAGCTTTTAGTAAACAACCGTTGCTACACTACGTTTTAAAGTGAAATAAGTTTAAATATGAGAGAATAAAAATACGTCGTATAAAATAGACCATTGTTTTTGATTTTATTTTAGATCGTGAAAAAGTATATCACGGAAATGCAGGAACTATTGAAGAGATACATGTTCTGGAAAGCTCCGGTAGAACTACTAGAGATTTTGCCGAGGAACATTGGTCTTCAAAAATCAAATCATATGTAATGCCTCAACCACCTAAATTTGTACAGGTATGTGACAAATTTTTTCAATTACCATCTTCACTGGTACTTAGCAGTTGCAAAAATTGCTTAAGTTATTAGTTTAGTTTATTCTTTATTTTACAAAATGTATTATTGTATTATGCTAACAGTTTAACAGAGAATTGAAAAGTTGGCGTAAAAATGATTATCTTCTGAAAGGTTAATTTTTCATGAATATGATATATGCTGTCAAATTTAAAATTAATTATGTATCTTTACTGCATTACTTCTCTGTCTAGGTAATTAAAGCATTTCGAGTGTTAGCTACTGATACGTTGACACTTGTCGTTGAAGTACAAAGTGATCCACCCGCTATTTTTGAATGGTTCTGCAATGACAGACCAGTGCAACAAAACCGACGCAAATTTAAGGTTTAATTATTTTATATTTCTATAAATCGTTGTTTTTAAGATTGCAATACAACTGATACCAATTTCAAAAGAAAGCTTGAAATTAAAAACAAAGTGTAAACAACATTTGTTTGTAACATCACTGGAAAAATAATGTTTTTAGGCACGTCATGGAATCAACATTACCACCCTGACCGTTGAGGGCCCGGAACAGGGTGTTTATAAATGTACTGCGAGAAATCCCGTCGGTATATCTACAACTTATGGTTATATTACAGTCAATGGTTCGATCTTTTCTATTTCTTAATTTTAAATTTTCAATGAATTCAAATCAAATGAATTAAATTGCTACTAATTGCTCGTAAATTACTATATACCAATTTACTATAGAAATTAAAATATTATTTCTAGTAGTTATCTTTTTACCTTTTAATAATGCTCTCAGTTTTTCATACATATAAATGTTGAAATATGATTGTTTTCCAGGTATACTGTTGCACACCTGATGAAACATTTTTTTTTACTTATTTCAAATCAAATATCAAAACTGTTCGTTCTTTTTCAGCTCCGCAACCACACAAAACATTGTTGGAGCAAACACATGAAGTTAATGAAGAAATGAAAATGGAAATTGTCGATAAAGAAAATATCCGTAAATTAACAATTATTTTTAGTAAACAATTAGTAAAGAATCATTTGGAATTCTCAAATTATTTTGGGATAATCTTATAAGTTGCACTTTTTATCTCATAATAATCAAAAAATTATTTCAGAAATACCAATTGATATACCACCCAAATTTATTCATCAGATACCAAATTTGACATTGCGACCTGGTAGTGAGGCGCTTATTGATGTTGAAGTTCAAGCATCACCTGCAGCCAAGTAAAAATTTGATTTAAAAAATATATGAGCATGAATCATGGAGAATACTTATCTCAAATTCTGAATTTATATTATTACGAATATGCAACTTGGAAGTAAATATTTATATTAATGATATAACATCTCCCTCGTATAATATTGTATGAGAATAAGGAGTGAAAAAATTTTCTTGAAATGTAAATAGCAAGATATTCAAATATTCAAATTACCTGTTGAATTGTAAAAATAGCAATATCCGATTACTAACTTTCAAAAGACTCATATGAAGATCACATAAAGCTTTTGCTATAATGTTACACGAGGTTAAAAGTAAATTATTTTTTCCAACTTTTTCCACGTTACTTTTACCTCTTGCGATAATCTTATTTTTCAATAATTTTTACAAAAATTTAAAGGAATTTAATTGGGCAATAATAAAACGTTCCTAATTTCTTAAACTTTTTACCCTCAGATTACAATGGTACTATCAATTAGATTAAAATACGATCGGAAAAAGTGATCCGTATTTTTATATGAGATTAAAAATAAGGTGCATTTACTGTTTTAGATTTACCTGGTACGTGAATGGTATCCAGTTTCGCGATACAATCGGACAAATTGAAGTTTATTATCCAATGAATAATCGTTGTATTGCCCGATTTCCAATTCCACAAAAGGGTGAATACAAAGTAATTGCGGAAAATAGAGCTGGTAAAGCATACAGCATCGGTCATATCGATATCAAAAATGGTAAGCGTCATTTTCTAACAGAATACTTTTCCGTTAAATTACAATTTATAACTAAGCAGTATTTCTTCATAAAATAAGAGCAACGTGAACAATAAGGAAAAGATTATTAAAATATTGATTGACTGGAACGCATGATATCTATTTACAGAAATTACGTATCATCAAACACAGTTACCACCTCTGCCAAGCGATCATATGTATTATAATTCGTGCAACAGCGAATCTGAACATCGTAAGATGCTTATATCATAATGTTTTCATCTTAAAATTAATGAAAGCTTAGAGTAATTTGAGGATTTTCGAAGTCCTTTTGTACTAGAAATTCTTTTCTTGTTTTATTATCAAAGACTAATTAAAATTATTAAGAAAACCAATGAATGTTATAGGTGAAAAATCATTGTTACAAGGCAGAGGACGAGCATCTTCGGTGAATAGAATGGTTGATTATTATGAAGAAAGTAGCTATTATCAACGCTCGACAAGCTTGCCGAGACAAATTGATTATCCATATGAAATTAAGAAAACAACGGAGATCATTCGAAAGTGCGAAGATGGTTCGTTCTTTTTTCATCAGAAAAATCCACTCCCCGATACATCCCTCAACTAAAGAAATATACTGAAATGTGAATTTAAAAAAGCAATATTTTCTGCTTACAAAAATCAACTGATTGGCAGGGAATTGTTATCTTCTGCAATTTCTATAATAACCGCCGCACTTTAGTAACTGCCGATAATTAGTAAATTCAATGAGCACTTAAGTTTACTTGAAATATGCATGATGAATATTTGCGCTTGAAAAGGATCTGTTGCAACAAATTCTCAAATCTGATAACTCTGTTACTGTAGTAAAAATGTTGTAGCATAAATTTTTCGGAAATTTTATCCGTCAACATTTTAATACTTCTTTTCTTTTTTATGAATGATAGGATAGGATAGAAAGGTGGAAATGAAGCAAGCATCTATCTGCAAAGAGGGAGGACAATGTCTATATTAGCAATGTAGTGATAGGATAGAAAAGGGGAAATGAAGTATTAAATACAAGCATCTGCAAAGAGAGAGAGGATACTGCTTATATTTGCAATATCATCTTTCAATAGGCCAATAGTTAGTTCTTTATTGAAAATTAAAATTGGCAAAATTGAAAGAAAATTAAATCATTTGCCTGGTACCGTAAACCTTCATTGATTCTAATACATCCTTTTGCATAGGTTGGCTAAAACTAAAGCTAAAAAGCTAAAAAGCTAAAACAAACTGCATGAGGGAAAAGCCTATACCTTAACATATTTATATGAATTTCCCCGCCGTGAAAACGATGTGCATCTTTCCTGTTAACAAAATTTGCATGTATTGTTTAATTGAAGAAAGAAAAATTTATTTCATTTTATTTATTTGCAAAAGTTGCGCTTCTTTTGTTTTTAAAGAAGGTTTTGAAAATTGAAAATTTTAATTTGAAAATTTTTAGCATTAAATTTTCAGTCTATTTGTTGCTTACTTTTTCCCTATGCTATATTTTCTTCTTCGTTTTTTTTGTCTTGCAAAATCAATTTTCTAGACTCGAATCAGTTGCAACAACAACAACAACAACAACAGAAAGAGCAACAAGATCATGAACAACAATATTTGTCTTCAAGAAATCTTGTTGAAATGGAAGATGAGCAATTACGGGCAATGAAACATCGACGTTATAGCGAAACAAAACAATATTTGTTACCTCAGAAACCAGTTTTTACTAGTAAACTACCGATAGATGTTGCGGTAAGTCCCGGTGAGGATCTGGTGCTCAATGTTGATTTTAAAGCAATTCCAAGAGCAGATGTGAAATGGAATGTAAACGGTTTTGAATTAAAAGATTCAAAAAAAGTCACAATAATTAATGAGGAAAATCATTCAACACTTATTTGTCGTCCTCCAGTTCGTTATGGACGTTATAATGTCACAATGAGGAATGAGTACGGTATGAGCAATCAAACTACACGAGTGCATTATGGTGAAGAAAAACAATATGAAGAAGTCAAAGAATCACATTTATTATCCAATAATGTCACTGAACATCCAGTACCTGCTTATACTACTACCACACTAGTTAATGGATGGGAATTGGTCGATGAGCAACAGCGATCTAGCAAATCGGCAGATTCATTCGAAACTGTTAAATATGTGGAAACAGTACGAGCGGCTACAGAAGGACATGAAACACCCACTCCGCATGATCAGACACCTACTCCATGTCACCCGTTCGATTCTTCTACGTATACTTTACGACAAAGTGAAGAAGGTAGTCGTGAAATAATGGCAATGAGTTACGAAGCCTCAACAATTCCACCACAACCATTGACAAAACCAATGACACCTGTCATCCATGAACCGCTACTAGGAATGAGCATTTCTGTAGTTCCTGAAGCATCGTATTCATCTCCCTATGCAGAAAAACGATACGAAGAAATCACAAGTGGTATATCAAAAATTACTTATGAACCATCCAAACCTGCTGAACCGATATTACATAAACCGCTAACAGATATGACATTTGCGGAACAAAGATATGAAGATGTTCGTGCGGGAAGCGAAGTTATGATTCATAGAGTACCATCCTCAAAACCACAATCACAAAAAGAAATTGTGGAGCACAGAATTATAGAAAAGAAAACATCGCACATTCCAGTACAACGTGTTATGGAACCAATTCCAAAGCATCCATTCATTTTGAAACAGCCTGAGTCAGAAATCCATCTCAAAGCAGGTGAAAAGCTTGTGTTGGAATCTAAAGTTGATTCATCTCCAGTATCTCAATTCAAGTGGTATCAAAATAATTTTGAAGTACGGCCATCACCATCTGTGATTATTGAGAGCCCAGGAGTGAATGAAAGTCGGGCTACATTTTTGAAACCTACCAGTGGTACTTATAAAATGGTAGCTTCCAATATTCATGGTTCTTGTAGCAGCACAACTCGTGTAGTTACAGAAGTCACCGAAGAATGGACAACAGAGTCTAGCATCATTCGGGCAGTGCCAGAAAAGCAAGAACCAAAATACCAGCTTACAAAGAGATCTCATATCGAGACACGAAATGATTTACCCAAAGCGCCACGAATTGTGGAAGGTTTCGCTCCACTTCTCAAAATCGCCGGTAATGAACCGCTGGTATTGCGCGTTACTGCAGATGCAATACCGGAAGCGGAATTCCGTTGGACGTTAAATAATTTTGAAGTAAAACCAAATCGAACAGTCACTATTCAACGCCTTGGTCCAAATGTTTCACAAGTTACATTCCATAATCCCATAAATGGACGCTACGAAGTGGTAGCTACGAATTCGTTGGGTCAAGATTACTGTTCTGGGAAAATAATTATTGATTATGCAGAAGAAGCACAAACTACTCCTGTTGAGCCAGTCAAGAGGCCAACCGTTCCTAAAATTCCTGTATTTATCAAACCGTTACCAGGAGAAACACAGTTGTACTCCGAAGAACAAGAATTCCGCCTTTCCGTATTAGTGAACGGTGAGAAACCGATTACATTCCGCTGGTTTGCGGATGGCAGTCTTCTGTCGAATAGCGTTGAGCATCAAATGATTAATGATTTGGAAAATAGTACGTTAGTTGTACGGAAACAAATTGGATGTGATATTGATTATGCTGTTGAAGTTTCTAATGCTTACGGAGCTGCTTGGTCCGAAACTACGGTAAAACCACCATTGTCAACAACACCTTTAGCTACCAGTACAGCTTCACCGGAAAGTTCACAACTAGAAATATACGATGCGCAGCGATACTCTCCACGTTATACCATTGTGTTGATGGACAGAGATTTGCAGCAAAATGATGAATTTACCGCACGTGTAGCTATTAATACAGAATCCAATCCGTGTGAGTTTGTCTGGACGCTCAATGGACGTGATATCCGTACAATTCCTGGATTTCGCGTTGAGTCGACTTTCTATGAGTCTACTCTTTACATCAAATCAGCCTCATCAAAGCATCATGGCGAATTATCTGTTACAGCAAGCAACAAATATGGTACTGCAAGATCAGCAGCTAAAATCACCGTTCACCCATGTTAGTTTTCGGATTAAAATTAATTTGCTAATTTTTTAGTTTCATTTTTGAATAAAGCAAAATTTTTTGTTTATAGCATAGAGATATGCTTAATTTCTTTCATTAATATTTCAAACTAACGTCTATTATTGAGATACCATGATTATGTTCATATTAAGAAATCATATTAACATAGATTATTTACAGTAGTTTTCTCTAAAAATATTATCAATGATTTAAGGAAAGATGCACGGCACTCGAAATTTTCGGAATTTTAAAAGCATCGTATTATAATTATCTTATATTAATCCACAAGAAGGATATATTTTTTTTCTTTTTATGATCCAGAAAATTTTCGGGATTTTAACAAAATAAAAAGTGGTTTACCAATAAGATTGGAATTCAAATTTATCGATTGAACGTATTATAAAAGCATTTTCTATCGCTTTTCAGTACATGAAGAATCGTATGAATTTATTTCGGGAGTAGAAACTATACCAACCGAGCGGCCACCACAAATTATTTCGCCTCTGCTACCTTCCGTTTTTCGAGCGGGTAAGTAATTTTCGAGATTTTCTTCGATTCTGGATATTGCAACGCACTTGTAAGTGCTATAAGATCGTTTTTAATCTTCAAATAAGTGGCAGCAGTGTGAAGTCAGCGTTAATACTTCCTGTAATATTACGATATCTGCGACTTCTACGGAATTTCGGGTTTTATCATGATTTTATGGTGAAATTAAATTTCCATTTGCTCTTTTTCATTAATCTGTAAAACTATTTGAAATATTTTCGAAATTTGATGCATAGAATATGTAGGTGAATCACTGGAATTAGGCTGTTGCGTTGATGGTTTACCACGACCGGAAGTATTCTGGACTAAGGATGGAATTCGTATCGATGATGGGATGACAGAAAAAGAACTCATCACTCTTCAATATCCGGATGGTAGGTATGAACTGATCAGTCAAAAATGTGCGCCGGAAGATGCTGGTTTGTATCAGTTAACGGCTCGTAATATCCATGGTACCGCGAATACTTCGGCTTATATTCACATTGAAAGTAAGTAAAATGCATAGCTTAGCTAAGTGGAGTTTTTCTTTGCCAAAATACAACCACATACTTTTATTTTTATTCAAATGGAACTATCGTTTCAGGGAGAGAAGTAATGGAAACAACAACAACAACAGAAACGGTAGAAATTTTCAGCTTTCGATTGAAAGACTCGTAACAAATTTAAAAAATTCTGAAAATTCAGTTTTTTTTTAATAAATTTTTCGATGAATTCGTAAAAGAATAGAATTGGTATACAAACCTTTTTATGCTAATTATAATTTCGTGATCTGGTAGATTTATTTAGTTGCCTGATTAATGAGATTTAATTTAAAAACTTTTCGGGTTATTCAATTTTTCAACTGGTACATTTAGAATGGTGAAATACAAGTGATTCATCCGGCAACATCAAAGCCACGATTCAGCAAGGTAATGTCGAAGCAGTATGAATACGATATGGTTGTGAGCTGCAAAGTGATAAGCGAAACACCAGCTGTGGTGTCATGGTATAAAAATGGACAATGTCTCCATCAGACTTATAAATATCGCATGCAGAAATTGTCTGACAACACGTATACTCTTACGATATGCAATGTCGACAAATGGGATGAAGGTATAAGTTGTCTAATATGATTACGCAAGTGAATTGTCAGTGTAGAGATAAATAGCAAATAATGAAAATGAAGAAAATGTGGTTAGATAGATGAATAGCGGAATCAAGCGGATCACGAAGATTAGATATATGAATAATGGAATCAGATAGTCAAAAGATTATATAGATGAATAGCGAAATCAAATACGAAAACTTCAGTGATAATGAACTCTGTAAATAAATTAAAATATTGCTCAATATTTTTTGTCAGGCACCATTTTGCACTAATTTTTCTATACTATTTTGTTGGAAATAAGAATACATTATGGAGCATCTGAGAACTGCTTTTAATTCCAGGTTCATATATCTGTCGTGCTGAAAATAGGTATGGTAGCTCAGAAACAGGAATCTATATCCGACCTGTAGTAAGATCCCGAGAAACAAGCGAAGTATTGGTTGAAGAAACTGATAGTGAAGTAGTTGGATTACAAGATGATATTGGTTATGTAAACAAAGTATGCAAATTTCGCATATTTTTTAATTATTTAGGATGATTTTAATGAATCATAGAAATGGGAGAAAGTAATGTTTAAAGGAACAACCATAAATAAACCTACAACAAAATAAAATGAGAAAGAGGCATTAGGCGAGGATTGGAAATGATTGAGTTAATTTCTTGTGAAATTCTACAAAAGTTATGTTTTAAATTATGCTTTCTTGTTTTTAGAAATTCAAAATATATTTTCAGAAATACATCGATACAACGGTTAAAGTATTAGTAGAGCCTGAAGTAAGTGGTAGCCAAGAAATATACAGCCATACAGCTGAACTACGAAAAACCGAAGGTTTGATCATTTATTTTTAATGCTTTTTAATTATGAATCAAATCTCTGTCAATCACAATTAATATAAATTGATTTCAGCAGAGTATAAGTTGCTGGTAAAAGTTGCGGAAATTGTTGCAAGTAAACTAGTCGCTAAAGTTGTAATCGATGAAGCAATACGTGTAGCATTAAGACGAATAAATGCAGAAGTGCAATCTAGTGAAGAGGAAGAATTTGAACCAATCTGTGAACAACGTCCACATCCGCCAAGGTATTAGTTGTCATGAATATATTTAAAATGATTACGAATTGCGTTAATATCTTGATCTGCGTGCTATGGTCTATAATTGGAAGAGAGAGTTTTTCATCTATTGATATTAATTTGTCTCGTTATTTATAGATTTGAAACAAATATCGAAAGTTATACTGTTGATGTCGGTGATGCTGTTGTGTTGCCTACTGATATTAGTGGATATCCTCAACCACATGTTGAATGGTACTTTGGTGAACAAAAACTTGAACAATCCGAGTAAGTCGAAATCATTGCAATTTTAGAGTTATGCAAAGTTTGATTTATTATATTATTTATTTTGTTTTGCATTCTGGTTTAGACTTCTAATTGTTTTTCAAATTCAATTATTTAGTAATAATATATATCTAATTTCATGTATTTGTGTGAATCCTGAACTTTTTAAACAACTGAACTGTTAAGCTCATTCTGATCGAAGAAAATAAATTGAAAAATTCAACTTTGTCATCATAATCCATAGAAATCTTTCTTTCAGACAAATTGAAGTCAAGTACATAAATAAGCAAGCCATATTGACAATTAAGAATGTGGAAAAGAAACATGAAGGAACTTATTATTGTCATGCTGAGAACGAGCATGGAAAAGCTGTGTTATCATGCAGTTTATGCGTAAATGATACTTCCCTTGGTAGGTTTTTTAAATGTCAAAATTAGATTTGAAATTGAAGTGATTTTTACCTCTTGCCTCATGAAGAATGGAACACTGCAACAAACAATAGGCGGTAGGAATGCCAAAAACGATGGATATCCATCTATTAATTTAAATTACTATTAGCATAGAGCATACAGAAATCTTATAACACTTGTGCTATCAAGACAAGGATTTTTGTAGCTTGACTTCGTTTCTCTGATTGGAAATAATTGTTTGAAATTTACAGAATGGTCTGAATCTACACACAAAATGGCACGACTTCCGCTGATTTACACTTTATCCGAAACTGAGGCAGAGGTATCTTCAAATGTTCACATTACTCATGCTGCAGAATCATACGATCATTATTTCTCTTCCATTCAACCAGAATTCTTTGCATTGGGTTATTCATGTCTTGCATCAACCAGTAAAGTGCATGATGATTCTGTGATCATAACCCGCGAATCGGTACAGAAAATGAACGAAAAAGAGCAAGAAGCAGCGGAAGTGATTTTAAACGTAAATGTAGAACGTACACCGTCAATTTTCAAACATGATGCACGTATTTTACGATCGATAGATGAGAGTGTTATTATATCTCGGCATGAACCACGATATACAAGAGCAGAAGAAGTAATCCAAACTAATAATATACTTTTAATTGGTGATCAGCGTGTTCTGCAGCAACATCAATCTATGGTTAATGCTGTGACAACAGTTGTACTTGAAAAGCCGCCACAGCGAGCTTTGCGTGAAATCATTTGCTTATATAACGAAAAGGTTATCAACATAGAAATTTTTTTTAGATTGATAACGAATAATTGAATCAAAATTAAAACTACTATTGAATTAAAGATTAAGGGACTTGGAATGACTGGAACTGGTTTTGCTGAATGTTTTATAATATAAATACAATTCCTGTATTCTATCTATAGAAAAACATTTTTATTTAGACGAAATAATCTTCTTGATTTGACTGCTTAACTACTTTATAATGATTACAACAACGAAACTTATCGTTTGAATCTTATATCGAATGTTGCGGACGTGCTGATATGTTGTTGCTCTATCTTAAATTTGTGCTAAATAACTAATCTGTTCTCTTTAATCGCTTCTATATTACAATTATTATTATTCCTTATTATTCCAGGAGCTTGTAAGCAAGGCGAAAATTCAAGCCGTCAGTACAGTTGATCTTAAGCAAATTGAAGTTGTCAATGAGCTTATCAGTACCATTATGGCTACGAAGGTTCGTAAGTTCCATTCTTTCGAAAACAAATGCTTGAAACCTTTTGGTTTAATAATTATTTTGTGTGCAAATCGTGGAACTGGAACTTGCAAGGTTATTTAATGCTTTTAAGGAAGTTGTGAAATTTAAAATTTATTTAGTTCAAAATGATACTGTACCATCCGTAACTTCAATAAATACAGGGAAAGTTCCGCGAAGCATATGCAGAAGCAGACGTAGACGTAAGACGTCCGGATTCCATATTTGATCATTTCATAACTGTTGTTGAATCGGAACACGAATATCTCAAAATACATTTGGTTGCATCGGTAGTTGTGAGGAATCTTGCCACTTCCGATTTTCACTTACAACAAAAACCGGAATCATTCCATGCAGAATCAGTGTATAATGAATATCTCAGAGCGAATGCTACTGCTGAGCAACGAATCATTATACTGCAGAGTTCATTCCAAAAATTCAGCGAAACTATTACATGGGAGTTGAAAAAGGTTTTATATTATTCGATTCCATTCCATTTATGGAAGTGAGTGAAAATAAAAAACAAAGAGTTTTTAAAACTCATCCGTATTACTCTGTATCTCGACTAGAAGAATCTTTTTGCGCTCATCTTCGACTTCCATTTATAAGACGAATTTAAAACATAAGCACAATTATAGTTATTTTCCTCAATAAATCCTTATTTAATTTTATATATGTAATTTTATTTTTCTTCAGCAAGACAATTAAGTGATAACCGAAGCTTTATCAGCACTGATTTCCTTTCATTCAATTTTATTATAATTTGAGGAGAATATCTCTAGCTTGAACTTTTCCTTTAGAATTTCGTTAATTGCAGCTTAAGCTCAAAATCGTCTTGCTTTTATAGGTTGCTAAGGAAGCAATCGAGAGTGGCACAACAGTAGCGCATGCAAATATTAAAGTATACAAACCGGAAGAGATCGGTGAGCATGAAACAACAATTTCCGATGCAAGGAAAATGGTTCCAGAATTATTTGCTATCGCTGCTGCAGCTAGTAAACTTAAGGTATATCTCACAAGCCAATTTTCGGAAAATTTTAAAATCTTAATTCAGAGTATAACCTTGATACAATTGATAACAATTTTCTTTTTTCAGCTACTTCATCTACTTTTCCTTTTATGGGAACATTTGATATTACAGTCTTCATCAGTACTGTAACATCAAATGTTTCTAGATTTTCCTGGGCAGAAATTGGTATAGATCTCTTAAATTGAGCAGTTTTAGCTTACCAGCGTTTTTGTAACATTCACTAAGAAGGGCGATGTTGCACATCAAGCGCTTGTTATCGAATATGAAAGTTTTGTGGCAGATGAAGCAACTCTAAATGTGGCTGTGCTTACTGCTCCTGGATTTCATTCAAGACAGGTGAAATATGCGAAATATCAAATCAAACAGTTCTATTTCTTAATATAACTTTTTTTTAATTTCAGTAGAAGCTGCTCATATTGAAATCTATCAAAAATTATTAAATTTTAAGGAGAGTATTTGGTCATATGAAAAGAAATATGAAAAATCTGAGGAAACCGAACCTAATGTTGTAGCCGTGTTTTTGGAAATTAATGCTACATGTCCAAATCAGGTGAGAATTCTGAAAAATCAAAAAATTTTAATCATGAGAAGACATCTCTTATTTGATTAACTGGCTTGTAGCAGTTTTTTCTGGAACATTTAGTCTATCTTGGTAAGTACAAAAAAATTTCTGCTACTGGATTGTGTAAAGCATTACACCTCACATTATTTCATGTCTCGGGACACTTAACAATGCAATTTCCATTTCTGTAATAAGCAATCTCTGATGAGGTAGTAATAATTCGAACAGATTAATTTAATTGGAGTAAAAAAGAAAAATTCGTGTTTTTAGAAATTAATGTTTTTTGATATCATTTAGATGGTTGAATTGATAGCATCAGTTAGCCTACCGCCATCTGCTCCTGGAATCATGGATGTAACTCATTCTTCACAGTCACATTTCGAATCGCCGTCTTCTGTTTCTTGGTCCGAATCTTCATCCGCAGGTATAAATATTTTCTCCTTTTTCATTATCGCTGATTTTTATCTCAAATAACTTAAATGTGACTAAAAGAATAGCAGCATATGTAATGAATCGTGAAATTTTTCTGAATTCAAGAACGTGAATACAACAAAGAATGACGCCGCTTTTTTATTTCAAGATTTCATAGGTACAAATGACAGCAATTAACCGCTGTTTTAATTATTTTTGAAGGACTACTTCAAGTGCCACAATTCATCAAAAGATTGGAAAATATGTCAGCAATAGTTGGAGAATTCCATCAATTCAAGTGTATTGTTAGTGGTGCACCAGCACCAATGATACGATGGTATGTGGATGGCGATATCATTCATGATTCAGAGTAAGCACTACATTTTTTCTTTATTTCAGGCATTTAAATGGATGAAATTTGCACTTCAGGTATTATCATGTGCCGTTTTTGCTATGAGCGGTCAAAGAATGTGATCTCATGAAAAAGAAATTCATGGTCTAGCTGTTGTTAATTTCTTGCAAACTAGCTTTGGCTCAGCAGTTTATACCTTTTAGTTTTATTGATGTGATAGTGGCAGCGTCTTTTTTATTTGTTTGAAACTATGGTAAAAATATGACTATGCTTTGACTTTATCAGTCTTTGCCATTTCATATTATAAGTGAAATAATTTGGATTTTCTGAATTCTATTCATTAGTTTCAGGTTTCTGTATCCATCCTCAAGTATTTTTAGAAAAAATTCACTATGCAACGTATTTTGTCAACTTTATGTACTTATTTTCTTTAAGTGTTTATCAAACTATCTACGAAGATGGTGTTTGCATTCTGAAAATTCGAGAACTTGCAATTGAAGATGAAGGTGAATATACCTGTGAAGCGACGAATGATGCTGGTCAAGCAATCACGAAATGCTTCTTGCAAATTATCAGTTAGTTTACTTTTTAGATTTCAGCGGAATAGCTCATCCTCATCTATTTCAGGAAAGTTTTTTGAAAATTGAAAAAATTCATAATTCAATTAAAAATACTTGAATTAAGCAAGTGAATGTGTTCACATATATTTTGAAGTAATTAGCTGGAATAGTTGGAGGTCAATTTCATTTTTTAAAAATTTATTAAATAAATGATGATAATAAATAGCAACTTGATCAGCAGATGTGCTGTTGCAAAGTACAAGATTTAAACGTTATAAGTGATGGTATGAAGTGAAATAGTTATCGCGTTATGAGTATCTGCCGTCGTTTTAAAGTTTTGTGAATTTTTGCTACAAGGTACGGACAATAATTCGTATAAGCATTGATAATTGTGTCGTATTTAATTTTCTAATTCATTTTATCTTCATATCATTTTCTCCTTGAACTTTTTCACGAAATGATCTCTTCTTCAAAACCATTCAATGAGTCATCCTTAATTGCAGTTTTCTAATTCATTTTATCTTCAGTAGGTTCTCTGGAATTTAAGTAAATTTTTAAAAATTGAAATTTGCCTATCTTTTTTATTCTTCTTTCATGCTTTCCTTATTTTGGAGCAGTTTTAATGAACGACACCCAATTTATCATAATATACTTTTTTGCTTTATTTCTTCATTTGTTACGTTTAAGTCTCGTGTCTTTTACACGGCATTTCTGCTCTTATTTCCTTACGCTATCGATTGATAATAATAATTTGAAACCAACCAAACAAGTAGCAGTAACACTTTATTTCGGATGATAGTATTTCTAATTTTAATCACTTTATCAAGTTTCATGATATAGCAAAAAAATAAATTGAAATGTTTGATAATATAAACCTTTTGGTTTCAGTCATCCAATTCAGTGTTACTATTGCTTAAAAATATTTTATTTTATTCTAACCGAGCATGTATTCATAATTAGTTTTAGAAAAAGATTATTTTCAATGCTTTCTAACGACAAAATTTCACTTTTCCTCTTCTTTTTTTTTCCTAAAATAACCTTATGGTACTATGTTTTTTAGCGGAAGATGATGCTTTGAAATATCAGCAACAAGCTATGCTTGAAAATCTGTACAGCAACAATGGCGGCAGTAACAACGACGCTAACGACAATTTGGCATACCGGGATAATATTAATTCATTTAGTAATGTTAATGGGAATCGTATAACTAAGCGTAATAGCTTAATACAGCAGAATAGTAGTAGTAGTAATCATCGGAAACAATTTCTTATGATCAATTGTGAGTTTGCTCGAAGTGAACCAATGAGTGCTGAGACAGCGGTAATTGTAACACGTTATATTCCCCCATCGGAAGAATTTCGTAAAAATTTGGCATCGGAGGAGCGAAGTTTTAATATTTCTGTTTTTCTACCAAGTGCCACAATGGAATGTGATTTTATTTGGGCACTCACCAATTCCGAAACTATTGCGTTACGTCTGATGTCGTCGTTTCAGGCGACAGATTTTATAATTCAAAATTGTCTATCGCAACAAATAGAGAGAGCTGATTTGATACTATTTGTGAAGAAATTAACATTTGCAAATGTTTCATTTGCCATTTGTCAACCATGGGAAGAAATTTTATTGCTTAAAAAACCCGAAAGCGCATTAGCTTCGGATAGTGAATTTTGTCAGGTGCAGAAAGCACGACTGGAATTCTTCACCAAAAGTTCTAATGAGAAGGGCTGTAGCAAAGATGAATTTATGAAAAATATCGCATTGGAAATGGTAGTTGATAATGTTGAAGGAAATAATGCAACAAATTTGATTATTCAAGGAAATCCGACACTTCAAATGGAAGAAAGTGTTAATAATTCGGAAAAAGTAATAAATGAACAAAATGAAAAGGTGATTCGCTATAAAGATGAGAAAGAGGATTCACGAATTTCGATTATTCCTCAAGAAATGATTTGCAAAGAGAAAGAAATTGCTGCTAACATTTTAACCAAAGATGGTGAAAATAAGTTCAAGTGTCAAACACCTGGAGAAAATCCAGGAATCAGTCCCAGTACCTTAATTGCAATTCGGCGATATATAGATGAGTTACTTGATTTTATTCCTGATATACCAATAGGCATTTCTATCGATGCAAGTAGCAACATACAAAACAAATTCAATAACCTGAATACTACAAGCAGTCAGATGGAGAATGATTTCTCAAAGGATTTTGTTAATGAAGAATACTTGAATTGCTCATTTGATCGCAAATCGGAGTATGTCGAGACAACTCGAGATTTTTCGGCATCAGAATTAACTTCAGCCAGCAATCATGTAACAGGAAATCCTTTATCACCTGGGACTGCCTACTTAAATTCAAATCCAAATACCCAAAATAGGATGCCTTACAAAGAAAGCGTTGAAACTACAGCAGCAATTAGTTCATTAGCATGTGAAGTGGATTATGATTTAAATAAGGATTCGAGAAAAAATCTTGATAATCCTAGTAGTGAAGAAAGCCACAGCATATCAGGACAAAATCTTGATAATCCTGGTAGTGAAGAAAGCCACAGCATATCAGATACTTTTAATAGCTTGAGCACATTAGATATGCAATCATCTCATCATATAGAAACTTATCCATTACACTTTATAAATTCGATAGAAAGTACAGATGTCACTGCTGCAACTTTTGATGCCAGCGAAGAGTTTGAGGTTTACAGTAGTGCTTCAGCAAATTCTAGGTTACAACATGATGAAAGTTTTTCGACATCAGCACATGTGAATAAGTGTAACCTTTCTCTACTGGAAACTGATCTTTCGAAGGCTTACCCCGTTAATCCTGAAATTGTTGACACTTCAACTTTAAAATATCAGAATATCAGAATAGAATCACCCTTACCTTATGAAACCGCTACCGATGTGTTATTATCAGGGATCAGAGCAGTCGATGAAGTTTGTAGAGAAGTTGAAAGTGAAATTAAAATGAAATCAGAGGATAACGAAGAAGCACTTCAAATTGAACGTGCAATATACGATATATCCGAACGGATAGAACACCAGCAAGCTTTAACAGAAGCACAGGCGGAGGCAAGTGAAGAACTTTTAAAAACTATACTTGAAAATATTATCAAGAACACAGGACAAAGTAGTATTATAGAAACAATGGCCGCTTATAAAAAACCGGTCGTATTACTACGAGAAAAGTTGACAGATCTGGAAGAAACATTGAAGAGAGAAGATTTAGAATTCAGAGAATCATCAATGAAATCAATTCCGGAAACACAATTCGCATTCTCAAAATCATTCAGTGTGGAAAGTGAATATGCAAAATCTATCAGGGAAAGTTCGGTCGAGAGAGAAATTTGTGCAGTTTCATTGTATAATTTGCAACAAATTGGAAATATCAATAAGCAAGAGATTAAACGGATGACACCTTTAACATCAAACATTAAAGAACAGCTTCAAAGTTTGGAGTGTATGCTTGAGGAAGTTGAGGAGGTAGGAAGAGATGACATGAAAGAATTGACTACAGAAACTCAAAGTGTATTCCCGGCATATTCTAATGCCAAGCAACGTGAAGTGCATAACATTTTAATGCAAATTAATCGTGAAATAAGTATCATCAAACGATGCTGTCAAAGAAATATCTCGAAGGCGAGCGTGGATGCTGCAGTCGGTTTGTTGCATAAAGTTCGCAACAATGTTTCTTCAATGATTGATCTTATATCATTGTATAGAAAAAGATTGCGAAAAAAATCTCCTACTGAAATAGAAATAAATGTTAATAGAGAACGAATGAAATCATCAAAACGATCTCGTCATCATTTATCGCCGTGTTCCAGAACTGGATTCTTTTTCAAAACCGACACTTCAGTGAATTTATACTTTGTGAAACGTGAGGAATCAGAAATTATCAATGCTATTGTCAAACTATTTAGTTCATCTGACAAATCTGGAAATAAAATGTCAAAAAGTGAAAATTCTGAAATTTCCACTTACGACAATGCAGTTTTTGATGATGAAAATAATAAGGCTGTACAAGGACTAGGAATTGATCCATTATGGACACTTGTCACTGAGTCAGAAAAGGATGATAAAGTTATCTTACCAGATGTCGTTGGTCCAGAAAGAGCATTTTCACCACATTCTGTTCAGGATTCTCAAGCAGCTCCAGTACGCCCGCCACGAAGGCGAAGAGAAAATATCCAGCAGAAAGCTAGTTCTCCACCTCCGATTCCACCACTTCGTTTAAAGTGTCGTTCTAAGTCGTGTGATCATAAAAATCTTATTATTCGATCATGTTCTTCTGATACACTTAATTATCCCAATATGGCAACCAATATGCGCGAGGTGGGAAAAATGCTGCAGTCAGATGCTCTAATTTATGCGGGTGATCAATTAGATTCAGTGAGTAATATTAATTCACTGGACATGGAAGGGCCAAATACATTGATGTCTGAACAAAAATCTAAAAATTTTAGTGAAGAGGACATTAGTTACGAAAGAATTATTAGGAAAATGGAAAGCTTTTGCAGCTCTTCGTACGCTTGGCCGTCTAAAGAAGAGTATCATATTACATTGGAAATGTTTGATGAATCAAGTTCTGTGCAACTTGTATGCGAGGATTCTGACTATGCGCCGGAATCAGTTATGCATTCATTTTTGTTATTTGAGCCAACGAATAGGGTTGAAGAAGAAACCGAAGGAGTGCTTTTACAAACGCTAGAACTTCTGTCGGATTTGAATACCAGTAAAGCCGAAACTATTACTGAAGATACTACAAAACTGGAGGAAAGTTTAGCTGGAGTAAAAAATAAAATGGAAGAGAAAAAGTTCACAACTCCTGAATTAGATGCAAGTTACATTCAAAATAATTCAGAATACCTAGTCGATACGAGCCAGAGAATAAATGAAAACTCGAAATTGATCGAAAATCCGAGAAGCAATACATCCGAAGAAGCGGAATTCGAAGCTCTTCAAAAGCCAACACAGCATTTTCATGTTTCCTCAGGCTCAAAATCGCAGGAGTTGTCGATAACAAATCCATTAGATGAAACGAACTCTTTACATGAAATTGAATCAATTGATGATAAAGATGAAAATTTGGATGAATTAGATGATCTAATGGTAATATGCAATCCTCATGCCGGTGTTATTGATGGCGTCGATTTATTACCGACAATAATGGAAGACAGTGAAAGCTCTAAAATTGCAAATTCATTTATGTCTGTCAGCACAAATACTGTGATTGCTCTTAGCACATCAAATATTGATGAAGAGGAAAGTGATATTGCAACATCTTCAACACTAGAATCAAAATCAGAATTCACCGGTAAAGCTATTAAAATGCCCTTAAATAGAAGCGATGTGGACGATGTCAACTATTTAGATAGTTACAAGAAAAGAATAATTCTGATATGTGAAAGTGACGCTGAACAAGTAACAGAGGAAACTGCAATCAACATAAGTTATAAGAAGCCATCGAATAAGCTCAAGGTGCTAGCACTCTTATCACCTGAGGTACAAGCTAAGGCTGAAGCAAGTATGGTTATTGGGGAAGATTTTGATGTTCTAGTTGAACAACCAGATGAAACACAAGACTCTGTCATAAAAATTTTAGATTATATAAGCGATTCGATTAGTCTTGATTTGACTCTTCCAAGCACAGTTGAAGTGAATTTGTCGCTAAAACGCAATGAACAGTGCGAAGGTACTCTATCTTATCAAATTAAAAATTTAGCTGATGGTGAAATTGACCAAGAGCGAGTAAGTATCACGAGTGATAATCATCATCATTCAGCTAATGATGAGGAACGATGTACCGGTATTTCTGTTAACATTATTGCGCGAAGTATGCATGACGTTGCACGAGCCTCACTGGAAGAAATTGCTTGGGGTGAAGTATCCATGTATATTATGATGCAATCTATTACGACTCGTCCGATAACTGATTCAGAAACCAGAAATTCGCTAATTCAAGATGTGACTGTATCGGAATCGAATGAAACTGAAAAACGTTCTCTACGTTCTCATGATTCTTTCCGCTCATCATCATATCAGTCCTTTGATTGGAACGAATTTGGTGATCGAAATGGCAGTGGACAAAATTTAAACATACCAAGCTATGTGGTTAGGGAAGGATCAACTGCTACAATCACGTGCGAATTCAACAATTTTTTAAGTCCTGGAAGTTTGATTGAATGGTTCAAGGGTAAAGCTATGATGCAAATTGTTCCCGGAAAAACGGATCGCATAAGCCACGATCTGTTGGAGGTGCTGATTATTTCACACGTGAACCTAACGGACGGTGATATTTACAGCATTAGAGTTAATGATGTTGTTTATCCCGTTGCATGCCTCATTATAGAAAATGTCGATGCGTCCTCTGAAAAAATTAACAGTGATGTACACTTCATAAGCCCACCGCAAACACTATTTGTGATGGAAGGACAACCATCAATTATTTCCTGTCAAGTAAACAGTGCTGATCAGAAAATTGAATGGTGTAAAGATAATAAAAAGTGGGTGACTGAAAATGAGAGAATAAGATTAGAAGCAGATCAATTCGGTTATCATCGGATAATTATTGATAAGTCTGAACTAGAAGATCAGGGAACTTATTATGCTTTTTTGGGTGATCATTTCACAACAATTACACTGGTTGTTGAAGGTAAGCATAGTTGATTTTTTTGTAATACTAATAGTTGTAACTGAACTAAACTATTTGTTTTATTTCTTAAAACTACGTTGAAAATTCTTTTTCCAATTATATAGTGAAGGTTTTTTTCGATAGTACGTCATGTTGTTTTGTGATATGGCGGTTGCTTTCTGAATATAATTTTTATTAACAAAACTTTGTTACAATTCTAAAGATAACAGTCTTCAAGCTGATTTTTTTAAACCGACTCTTCTTACTAACTCTTCTTTCTATCTAATCTTTCTCTCCAACACAGAACGCATTGATGAACGTGAAGTGACAATCACCGCATTGGGAACAGACACTGAAGATGATGATTATCGTGAGTATCTGGTACCTTTGGGTAGTACAGCAACAATTGCTTGTGAGCTGGAAAATAGCGATGAGATTCAAGAATTGGTATGGCGCAAAAATGATACACGAATTGAGTTTTCGGACAATGCAAAAGTTGAACATGTAGTGAATGGTTTAAAACATTATCTAGTGATTCATGATACACAAGCTGATGATTCAGCATCTTATAGCGTCTGTATTAATGATATCGAATTTAAGATTGCTCATCTGATAGTTAGCAATTATGCAACAGCTATCGGTAGCAAGCATGCTAAACGTATCTCTAGAAGTTCTCTACATTGATTTCATTATTTTTAATTCGATTCTGTCATCTAAAACTGCTCAACCTTATGCAAATTCAGAAGTCATTCTTATATAAATTGTAATTTCATTTCAAGTTGCATTGATGCTCAAAGTGAGTTACTGTCTAAGTTGATATAGGAGCAATAATTACTTGAAATTCATTTCATGCAAAAGTTATCGTACCCATTTAAGAGATCTTGACATCTTTCAAGTTTCTGGAAAAGAAAATCCTTTTCATTTTTTCCCAAAAATTTTGCCGAAATGAAGTAGAATTATTTTTGTAGCAAGCAAATGTACGAAAGATTAGGTATTTGATTTCTGCTAACAACAATCGATCAAATATGTAATATCATCGATATTTTATTGCAAAATATTTAAATTATCTCAGAGATAGGATGATTCCAAGCTCTACTCTTGATATTTTTTGCTGAATAATTGCTTTGTAAGAAATACAGAATAACTAAAAAAGCCTTTTTCAAGAAGAAACTTCAGCCTCTTTTCGATTTGTTTTTTTGCAGAGTATTTTTCACCTTTTTTCTGAAAAGTTTTTGTAATCTTGCAAATTGATAGATTTATTCATAGAATAGATAGTTTAGAAAAAAGGAATTTTCAAATGCAATAAATTATTTGTATAGCTAATAGCTTCCATATGATTTGCTATTCTTGGAATCTTCATGCTATCTTTTCATGAGGTTTTAATGGGTTTTTTTTTGGCATATTCTTTACATTTTCAATGGAAAATAACTGAATCCGACAAAAATTAGGTCTTCAAAATGTGCTGTTGTTTCATCATTTGTCTGATAATCTGTATCATATTTGTTATTGACTTATATTTCGTTCGTTCTTACAACATTTTCGTTCGTTTCAAGTAAAACACTTATCACTGTTATATCACTGCATTCTTATATCATTATTATTATCGCTGTCATCATCATTACTTTTTTGCCTTCGAATAGAAAGAAATATACAATTAACAATGTTTATACAGAAGTATTCTCCGTCTCCTTCCCAACTGATGATTGAATTTTCAGCATAATTAAATTCATGTGAGTCAAATCTTCCATTTGCAAAGTGTTTAGTTTTGTAATAAGGTAAGAATAAGCTATTAATTATTAAACTGCAACTAATTCTGCATTTTCGGTTGAAATAGAGAAACAAAATGCATTTCATACCGAATCTTAAAGAAATTAATGAATTTCTTCAGATCTGTTTTAATTTTAAAAATTGTGCTTGAAGTTGAAGTTGAAATTCTCATAACTGCTAATCAAAAAATTTTATAGAATCCAGAATCAGCGATTGATAAAAAATTTTTCAAAGATATAAAAGATTATTGAAAATAAAGAATAGCATTATCGGACAGTTAAACCACTTATCTTAACGGAAATTTCACGAAAATTGTTTATGTTAGAAACATTGCAAGGACTGAGACACCATCTCATTAAATTATTTTGTTTGAGTGAGACTGTCGGTAGTTTTCGCATAAATTTAACAGTATGATTTTAATTGATGTAAAATTTTAATGTAATTTTAGTCATGACATCATGAACATAGATGGATCGGTTAACGAAATTGAGTTTTCAGATTCTTAAAAAAAGGATATAAATACAATTAACTTACCAAATCTTCTTTGGTACTTGAAAATTGAGTACTTACAAAATTTTTATATAAATAAATTTCAATTTTTGAAAAAACCTGGTATTTTAATCAATGCAATGCTGTAATTCTATATCTATAAGGTTATTGAAAAAAGGTTAGCGATTTCATGATAAAAACTGATAAGTTTTGCGGCAAACAAATGAAAAGATTTTTCAAATTTTTAAAGTTCCATATTTATAAACAAATTTCGATGTTAACTATATTGTTTGTTGTTTTGGAAAGCTTTCAATAATTTTGATAAATGAAGGCATACACAGATTTCTTTATGAAAGTTCTCAAATCTTTTGCTTTTCCATTTCACACGAAAGGATAAAATAACTTTTCTATTCAGCTTCTTCCCGCAAAATCAATTTATATTAAAAGATTCCTACCAATCAATTTTGCATATTATTTTGCAGAAATGAAGCTCTAGCATTATTTTTTTATCGTAAAATAAAAGCTGGAATATACTGATATATTAATCAAATAGTTTAATATGTACATTTTCAATGTTTTCTTCTGAATTCATTTTAATTTCTGTTACTGAATTTCAATCAAATCAATTCTTAATATTTTCAGTTCATAGTTCTCTATTGCAGAAGAGTATGCAAGTCAAGTTACGGTGGAAGAATCGATGGTGCCAGTCGGTTCAGCTGCAACAATTCACTGTGAAACCATTACCCAACAATATTCGTTGGATTGGCGCAAAAATCTCCGACCTATTATGCAAGATGAACGAATTGAAAGGAAAGATACAGCCGATGGCTTTGAGCATAGTCTTACAATTTACAGTGTTCGGAAGAGTGACGAAGGGGAATATGGCGTTGTAATTAAAGATTCATATACAGCCGTTACTAAAATAACTGTAATTGGTGAGCATTTCAAACAGAGTTACTACCTTTTTACAACTCAGTAAACTCTAAAATTAATATTAGAAACTGATTTTGGGAGATGAATTACGGATAGAAAAATATGCCAAAAGCTTGCCCTTTAGCCGCCGAGAAAATTTTGAGAGAAAAATTTTCATTTCACTAAGAAATTTGAGAGGCCAGAGATTTTATTGTAGGTGATCGAATTAATCTTCTGATTATTATCATCCATAAATATGATAGAAGTTAAAAAGAATCACTGGAATATAAAAAAAAAATTGGTTTTGATTTACAGAATCGCAAGAGCAAATAGCCATTGAAGATTTCGACATCTCATTACATCCAACACAATCAGTGATGAATGAAGCCTTCGCGCAATTACATGATCGTGTCAATCTTCAGCAAACACAGACCGTGGAGGCGTATCAATTATGCAACATGGAAGAATATTTTGATTTGCGATTTTCCATGCAATCGCTTGAAATTCCAGTAGTTATAATTGAAAAACGATCTGTATCGGTCAGCTATCTTTCACGGGAAGCATCCATTCAGGCATTGGAGAGAGAGATTCACATACACCGTGAGCCTTCTTATGAAACTAATGAGGATTTGACTTTTATGGAAATAACCGTTATTGAGTGCAATTTTGTAACAACAGATGTTCGTTTTGAATTCACATCTTCTACTTCAATTGGTCATGCTGTTGCTGAAACTGTAGTACTAACACTGGTTGCGCAACAATATGTCCAAATTCATCTCAGTTCACAACTTACTGAACTTAGAACTAGTTTTATAAAACAGCCCGGTTCGCAACAATTAACCGTCGTTACAAGTGTACCGCAAAAAATTGTCGAAAAATTAGGAATAAAATTAGGTGATCGATGGGTGAAGTTAGATGTGGTATTGTTGTCACCAATGCGAACTACAGCAACGGATGTTATGAACAAAATTCCCAGGATGATAACACTAGAAATGGACTTTCTTCCATTAATGTTTGAAAAATGCGACAAGAACATCACATTTGACAAAGCATCAGAACGAGAATATTTTGACGCTGTGGCATTAACAAAATCAATTACATATCCAGATAAGATTAGAAAACAGTTTACCATAAACGTCGTCTGGTTGGAATGCATAGTTGTATATAAAGTACCGCAAGTTTTTAACATCGTAACTAAAATTGATGATGCTCAAAAGGAAATATTCTATCTGCAATGCAAAGCTTCTAAAACGGATACAGTCGATGAAATTTTCACAGTCTGTGGGCCCATTCAACAACAAGATGCTGCAGTAACATTTCCAGAAACTTTGTTTGCAGCAACAAAAAGAAATTATGGTGATTCAATTTCGTCTTTGGAAACAACGTTAAGATCACACATTGATCAAAATCTGCTTATAAGCAAGGAATTACCGTTGATTCGAATGGAAATGATCAGTATGCAGCTGATGGCTTCAGTGCTTGAAATAATTCCAGTAACTTACAGTTTTTCGAAGCCTACACAGAATGAAAGTTTGGAAATGAAAATATTTATGAAACCTCTTAAACAGTATGAAATGAATCAACGTAATTTCGTTGACAGCGTCGCAAAACTTGACATAAAGATTTGGTCGCAGATCGAGCGTAACTTTTCCGTTACCTCTGACTTCCAAGCAAGAGAATTAGATCGAGTGAACGCAAAATTTTTCAGTCCAATTATAGAGTATTTCGATGTCTCGACAGCTTTCAGTATTCAACCGAAAATGGATGCAGTAATAGCTACTTTACGAATGAAGGCACCAAAAATTGTTAGAAAAATAAGTCGGCCGTTTTCAGATGCCGTTGTAAGTGTAATTTCAGAATGCTGGCCTCATACTTCTCAGGAATTTTATGCAGATGCTGTTTTTGTAACACCACGAACAGATGTATGCGTAGAAAATTTCAGAGCTTCAACTTTTGAAAATCTATATGTTATCATATCGTTTGAGATTCAGTCGCGGGCAAACAGTGCTGCTGTAACATTATTGGTACGAGCACCTACAATCATTGAAAGATTTAGCTTTATGTTTTCCAATGATTTGATTCAAGAGGAAGAATTCCGGCCGCGACTTCACCACAGTTTGGAAGTAGCTCAAGAAGATAGTTTGATTAAGAACATCAAAAGTGCAGAATGTGATGAAAAAAATATTGCGGTCATTATTGAAATGCGGCCGGAAAAGGAAAGTACAGAATTCACACTGCTAATCCCACTTCCAGCAATAATTGAGGAGGTTAGTCGGTTATTCTCGGATACTATCGTGAACCTAATTACTGAGCTACACATGGATATGCAAGATTTCCACACAAATAGTGATATTTTAATCGCTCGGACGTGTGCACTTCAAATGTATCTGAAAGCTTCGAAAGAAGCAAATATTACTGTACTAGCCGGATTTTGCATCCAAGATGAAATCAAAAACATCATGGCTACTTTGCTAACACGGTCGGCTACAGTTATTGAAAGAAATGAGCGTAAATTTTCAGACAATGTGGTGAAGTTTGTAATCGAACTATGGTCGCAAGTTTGTCGAGAAGCTTTTGCAGACGCTGACATTTATATTGCTAGAAATAATAAGACGCAGAAACAGTTGAAGGCTTCAGTTGCAGAAGATACGCATGCTTCGATAGCATTGGAAGAAAACTCTGAAGCTGAAGAGCTCGAAGTGACTTTATTAGAGCTAGTTCAGCCCGACACATACAAATTAAATCGTTTTTTTACGTATAGAACTGTTGATTTGATGGCTACATTATGGTTTCAGCCCCAAAACATCTTCTGCGCTGATATAAATGTAGCGGTTAAACGAAAGGAGAGTAATCAGTCGAATTTGAGAGCTTCTGGTAAAGAATGTATAAATATGTTAACCAGTTTTGAAGTGCAATCACAAATAAAAAATGCTACAATAGTATTACTTGCTCGATCACCGATCATTGTAGAGGAGACAAGCAGGACCTTCTCATCAAATTTCACAAAAATAACTTCCGAAATATTTTCAACAGTGAATAGAGATCTACATGCATACTTTGAAGCAATGATTGTAGTGCATGAAATTGCTGAAACATGGATAGAAGCAGCAAAAGAAGAGAATCTACGTATTGAAGTGTGCTTCGAAGAGGAATCGGAAACATATTACGCAGATGCTATTATATCAACTGTTCAGATGGAAAGACAGCTTATGATTGCAAGAACCCCATATCTTGAAAACGTCGAAATTTATAATTCCTTTGAGTTCTGCCCAAAAGAGGAGCTGTCATCGATCACTGTTACACCTGAACAAATTATTGAGGTCACCGAAAAGAGGTACAGCATTGAGGTGACAAAACTTGATGTTGAAATCTATTGTCGCGTTTTAAATGAAGTTGTGGAGACAGACCTCATGGAATCTAAGCTACTGGTATCTTGTAGTTACGAAACTTACGATGAGCGATCATTGTGTTTGTTTGCACAGGGATTTATTGAAGACATTATTAAAAAAGAATATGAACATCTCACGCAGGAGTCAGAAGAAAATATTAGTATAATGATTGAATTGTGTCACAATCCAACAATACAGTCTTCTGAAATTGATTTACTAAATATATATCAACAAAAGCGAACAACCGAGAATGCAGGCATTTCAAGTATATGTAAGTTACGTTTAAAAGATTTTTTGAGATGGAGATATTATGGAATCGTTTACAACTAAATGTAGAACTTTGTCAATAGTTAGATCTAGTAGCATGGCTTGCACAAACCAGTGAATCTAATTTTATCTTACATGAAAATCGTAGAAGGTTTGTTATTCACACTTGTCGCACGCTATTTCCGTTTTCTCTAGATTTTGTGTCACCTTACAAAAAATTCACAAAGTAGATTCATTATTGCTTTCGATCATCGATCAATGATGATAATGTAACAGATCCTTTGTAATCTCTCTTTTTCATTTCAGTCTATTAAGGGGAGAAAGAACAGGAGTGAAAGTTCAAAATCACTAAAAATTTTTTTTGAGTTTTCATGTTTAGAAGAAGGACTTGTTTAAGAGACATCAATGAAAGAATAAGACCTTCTAAATAAACACTAAACCATCATTCAGTAACGAAATTATTATTTCAGAATTTCATTTTCTATAATTTCTTAAATTCCATTGAATTCTTACTATTCATTGTTAACAAAAATTATTTTTGTGAATGTTGTTTTTGGTTGCACTTTCCGCTTAATATTTTCGTTCAATAATTAAATTCTTCATTTAGAGTATTACTTTTTCATTATTTATAATTATAATTCAACTCTCTTGTAGCATCAACTCTTCTGATGATTGAAATTAAAATTTCAGCATGTGAAATTATTAAGCCTATAGTTTTGGTAAATAAGTCATATATTTCTTTGTGCAGTGCGCATCATTTCTTCCTTTACTCTGATTTATTTGTACAGGAAAATTTGTTGAAAATGAATATAACAGAAGTAATTTCAATTCTCAGAAAAATTTATTTTACGACTGAAATGACTGAATTGATGAAATGTTTTCTTAGACGAATCAACTGGTGAAATTAGCACGTCTTATGCAGCTCCTCAATTTGCTGTAAATTTAAATGAAATTTACGTGATCGAAGAATTTGCAACTCATTTATTCAAATGTATTATTTATGGGACACCTACGCCACATGTCCGATGGTACCGCAATGGGCAAGCCGTCATTCCGAACGAGTAAGTCTATTTCAGATTATTTCATAGTAAAAGTTGTAAAAAATATTAAATGCCAAATACTTCAGGTCGTTTGTTTGGAATTTAACTACTTTAATTATAATTAATTATAATTGTTTGCAGTAAGATGCCTCCTCCTTTACTTTAGGAAGAAAAATCGAACAGTTCTTTTTTAAGGAAATTAAATAACACCGTAATTAAGATCTCAAAACTACTGCTGTAATTATTTATTAATATCAAATTTATTCCAATAGATCAAATTTTTCAAAGGACTTTGAAATTATTAATTATAATTGTTTGCAGTAATATAATAGAGATTGCTGAAGATGGTATCTACATACTGAAAGTAAATAGCGTGGATAGAAGTTGGAACGGAAATCTGATTTGTGAAGCAGAAAATTCAGTTGGAAAAGCTCGCACATATTCCATTATTCAAGTTCAAAGTATTAGCTTATTTGAATGAAGCATAATTAGATCGCTTTTTGTATTATAAATTCAGAAATTTTTCCTTCTCTTTTCATCTGCATATTCAAAAAATATTTAAAAAATGGAATGTTTAAGAAATGAAAATTAAAATACTTTAATTTATATTGCAGGTAAACTAATTTCCTTCGCTTATTACTTTTTTTACTTCATTTTGTTTATTGAAGTTGAATAGAGAGAATAAGGCTGGAATAGGAATCAGAAACAGAAGCATGAAACTGTAAGCAATAATTGATTGATTTCGCAGTACAATACCTTTCAGGAAATTCATATTACAGGATCAGAAGAAAATTCGACAAGTAGCTCTTCAACTGGAGGACAAAAACCCGTGATCCAGCTATCGCTAAATAATGAAATACATGTTAAAGTAAGTTCATTTTAAAAAAATACGCCCATGAAGTTAGATAGCGAGGAGATGGATATTTGCTGAATTCTTTTTTTAAGCTGGTACAAATTTCCTGGCTTTTTCTTATTTTTCACTATTTTGCCATTTATCAAACAATTAACTGTTTCAAAATCTTCAAAAGGTTTTCAAAATCTTCTAACCTTAATTATCATTGTCTTTATGCGATGTTTTTTTGTCCACAAAACATTAAAATTCTGATCCTTTAATTTTAAAAAATCATAAATTATGTTTCAGAAAGGAGAAAATGTCCAACTCAAATGTATTGTATCCGGAAGTCCGTTGCCTTCAGTGCAGTGGAAGCGCAACGATGTCGTTATCGAAAATAATGAGTATGATAAAAATTGAATAAAAAGCTAAAGGAACATAGCTGCGACATAACTTATCTTTTAATATTACATCTTTCAAGAATGCGACAAAAGATTATTGTCAAATTTCCAAGGCACGAGCACACATGCTGTGTTATATTAGTCATCTAACGAATTTCACAAATGAGAGGATTTATTATTTATTACCTTTCAGGCATTATTCGATTATATTTGATGATGGGATCTGCATTTTGCGTATTTTAAATGTCACAGAAGAGGACAATGCAATTTTCAGTTGCACAATGATGAATTTGTTCGGTTCCGCAAAAACCGAAAGCAAAATAATTGTTGAAGGTAATTGAGAATTTCATTAACACTGAATTTTTGAAATATCATTTTTAAAAATTCTTTTCTTTTAGTAGATAGATATGATCGAATGGAGTACACATTAGTAAAACCATCAAACATTGCTTTCGTGTAGGTTATCTGCAAGATGAAGATAAAATGGTAAATGGCACAAATTTCAATTGATTCGAAATTAAACGAACAACAGTCATGAAAATCTAATGAAGTTGAAACTGAACGTTGTGCATACTTTATTTTTTAGAAGTTCACTTAGCAGATACAACTAGTCTAAAAGAGGAGGAAAGTTCGATTACAAGAAGCATTATGGAGGATCGTACCATTGGTGTAATATCACCAGATTCAATGTCTTCACAAGATTCATTCACCACTCAATTCCAAGCACCTCAATTTACTCTACCGCTGAATGACATAACCATAAGAGGAACCGAAGAACTGCAACTTAAATGTATTGTTACGGGTGAACCAATGCCGGCAATTCGTTGGACATGTAATGGCAGAGAAATTCAAGCAGACAACAGGTAGAAAGTTTAATTTCAGTTTATATGAATTAACCATTTTTGAATGACCTATTTTATAACTCAGTCATAATTGTGGATTTCTTTCCCTTTCAGTGAAAATTTCTACCTGATGTGATTTCATTTTCAGTAAGTTAACACGGAAATGATATTACGAATTTTTTGTTTCTTTCATCATATGGCAGTTTAAATTGATAACAGAATTAAACACGGAAATGACCTAACCTTTGAATAAAGTTTCAAAAAGAATTAACATGGAGTTTGAAATCTGCAGCTTTCTTGAACCAAAGTTATTTTACCAATTCAACTTTTCTCCAAAAACTCTTTGGTATCAATTCATTTTTTTTTTATAATATTATTACTTATTTTCAACAATATTATAACAAACATCCATCCATGGTTTGGACGTTTATTTAGTTATCAAATCCATATAGAAAGATAAGTTGCTTCTTTGTTCTTATTTTGAAGTTTTCTCGAAGAAAAAAAGTTCAATTGTTAATAGTATTTTTCAGGAATATATTTACCGTTTGTGAGGATGGTATTGTCATATTGAAAATCACGAATGGTGATAAAGAAGGACTGTACGTATGTGAAGCAATAAACGGTATTGGAAGTGCACAAACTCAAAGTTTTGTTCGTATATATAGCTCGGAAATCTCACTTACAACAGTAATGAAACTGGAAGATACCATAGATTCAGTTGAGGCTGAAGTTTTGTCAATTTCGACATCAAAATTCTGCTCAACTGCTGATGTAACTGAAAAGAGAAATGAAATGATTGAGCAAGATCTGGAAGGAGAAAAATTAAGCAAAACATTCGATGAAGAGGAAATCACTGTCGATCAATATATCCCAATAGGCACACTGAATTATTTGATTGAGGCGGAAGCAATAACAATAACAGTTATGAATTATAAACTTTTTGGTCGTGTAAAATTGGAAGAGAAATCAAAAAAAATGAAAGAGGAGAAGTTATTTAAAATAATCATTGAAGAAGAAGCTATTCGCACGCGAACTTATTTAAGAGTGGTCGAACGCAGTGCAAAACAATTCTGGACACTTCAAGGTCGTACCACTGAAAGACCTCCATATTGGAGTCGAGAAATTATTAATGAAAGAGTAGAATTCGAGAAAATATTTCAAAATGATGATATACACGAATTTTTAGAAGATAAAAACATTATTGAACGTTATGTTCAGCTTTTAAAGATGAAAGAAACATCAGAAAGCAGTGAAGAATGCGAAACTCGATTTAAGCTTCACCAGATCGAAAGTCCACCAGAAACATTAGAAAAACGACAGCTGGAAATACACGAAGAACAGACTGGGAGTCTTTTTGAGGATATCGGTGTCTTCACAAGTGTCCACTGCATAGCAAATGCAGTACATCATGCTGTAGAAGCATATGTAATTCTCATTACACGTTACCTATACAAAGCAACATTTGATATTCGATCTGCTCTATGCCGGATGATTGCTAGAGAAGATGAATTTGAAGCTTCTATTGAAGAATCAGTGAAAATACAGAAATATTCCTCCCATTCAATTTTGAGGCCACCGCATTTCATTCAATCACTTACTGTCTTTGAAGAAGGTTCGAATACAGGATTGCGCTGCTCTGTTTACGGTCTACCAGTACCACATATTCGAATTTCGCATAATGGATGCCCAATCTTGAGAAGTAATAGGTCAGTTCAGAAAAGCAGTAATGAAATTTTGTTAAACACTTTATGTAAAAGGTCAGCTTCTACATGCTTTATTATTTGTCATAGTTAAAAGAGTTGGTTTTTTAATTTTCAACTATCTTATAATAATACTAATCTTAAAATGTAGTTACACAGTAGAAAAACAATACAAGCAGAATAGTGAAATGCTTCATTTGTTTGCTTATAAATCAACTAAGACAGTATTTAGTCGGTCTTTTCACTACAAAATAGAAGGCATGAACTATTAAAAGCTAATGACAGATCCAAAAACCAGAAGCTACATTGTTGTTCATAGAATCTTAAGATAAATTAACAGCATTAAGCGAAAGTTTTCATAACTACCCAAAAATTTTAGCATATTTTGCTAATAATCATGAAATGATCAATGAACATTTTGAATCAACTAAATTTATTCGTTCAAAACTAAATGAATACAAACTTTAGAAATGCTTCTTTAATAGTTAGAAATAACATGCTAACAATTCAATCATAATTCAGGAAGCGCTTTCAGATTCTTTCATGTAGTCTACAAGAGTGGTGTCGTTACACTGTACATGCAGCATATTCTTGAAGGACATTATGTATGTGAAGCCATCAACACAGCTGGACGGGCTATTACAGAATGCTATATTCAAGTCGATGAAGCATGGGATGAAAAACAACACAGGAAAATCCGAAGAATACAAGTTGAAAACGCATCCAAAACAACGAAATACGCAGAGACAAGTTCCAAAAACAACGAAATACTACCAATGACCTCACAAACATTGACGTCTCAATTAGAATATGAACATCGAAAACAAATCAACGAAGCGGTGGTGTCAATGGAAAATATTGACTCACCAAAGGAAGCAAAGAAAGAGCAACTAGGACAAGAAATTGTTGATAAACTACAGGAGGCAAAAGAGTGGATTGTTGAAGAAATAGAAGAAAAAGCTGTCGACGAATTCATTGAGATAGAAGCCGTGTTAGATTTAGAAAAACAAATCGAACATGAAATTATTGTTGTTTCGATCGTGCGTGTGACTTCAGAATCCGCTCAAAATTCGACTTTCTTAGAAAAGAAAGCAATCAAAGAGCAACATACAGAAGAAATTTCTGAAGAAGCAGAGAAACCTAAAGAGAGGATTGTTGAAGAAATAGAAGAAAAAGCTGTCGATGGATTCACTGAGATAGAAGTCGCGCTAGATATAGAAAAACAACTGGAAAATGAAATTATTGATATTTCGATTGTGCACGTGACTTCAGAAAATGAAGCAAAGAAAGACCAATCTGGACAAGGAATCATTGAAAAAGTAGAGCAGCCGAAAGAGAGAATTGTTGACGAAATAAAAGAAAAAGTTCTCGACGAATTCACTGATATAGAAGTCACGTTGGATTTAGAAAAGCAAATCGAACACGAAATTGTCGTTGTTTCAGTCGTGCCTGTGACTTCAGAATCGGTTCAAAATTCGTTACTCCTAGTAAAGGAAGCAAAGATAGAGGAACATCGACAAGGAATTGTTGATAAACTAGAGGAGCCGAAAGAGAAGATTGCTGAAGAAATAAAAGAAAAAATTGTCGATGAATTCAATGAGAGAGAAGTCGCGTTGGATTTAGAAAAACAAATGGAACATGAAAATGTTGACGTTGGGATCGTGCGCATGACTTCAGAATCGGTTCAAGATTCGGTACTTTTAGCAAAGGAAGCAGGAATGGAGCAACATAGTGAAGAAATTGTTGAAAAAGCAAAGAAGCCGGAAGAGAAGATTGCTGAAGAAATAGAAGAACAAACTGTCGACAAGCTCATTGATACAGAAGTCGCACAAGATTTAGAAAAACAAATGGAACATGAAATTATCGAAGTTTCGATTGTAGGTGTCATCTTAGAATCGGCTCAATATTCTATTCCCTTAGCAAAGGAAGCAAAGATAGAGCAACCTGGACAAGAAATTGTTGATAAACTAGAGGAGCCGAAAGAGAAGATTGCTGAAGAAATGAAAGAGAAAATTGTCGACGAATTCAATGAGAGAGAAGTCGCGTTGGATTTAGAAAAACAAATGGAACATGAAATTGTCGACGTTGGGATCGTGCCCATGACTTCAGAATCGGTTCAAGATTCGGTACTCTTAGCAAAGGAAGCAGGAATGCAGCAGCCTAGTGAAGAAATTGCTGAAAAAGCAGAGAAGCCGAAAGATAAGATTGCTGAGGAAGTAAAAGAAAAAATTGTCGACGAATTCAATGAGAGAGAAGGTGCGTTGGATTTAGAAAAACAAATGGAACATGAAATTATCGAAGTTTCGATTGTAGGTGTCATCTTAGAATCGGCTCAATATTTTATTCCCTTAGCAAAGGAAGCAAAGATAGAGCAACCTGGACAAGAAATTGTTGATAAACTAGAGGAGCCGAAAGAGAAGATTGCTGAAGAAATGAAAGAGAAAATTGTCGACGAATTCAATGAGAGAGAAGTCACGTTGGGTTTAGAAAAACAAATGGAACATGAAAATGTTGACGTTGGGATCGTGCGCATGACTTCAGAATCGATTCAAGATTCGGTACTCTTAGCAAAGGAATCAGGAATGGAGCAACCTAGTGAAGAAATTATTGAAAAAGCAAAGAAGCCGGAAGAGAAGATTGCTGAAGAAATGAAAGAAAAAATTGCCGACGAATTCAATGAGAGAGAAGTCGCGTTGGATTTGGAAAAACAAATGGAACATGAAATTGTTGACGTTGGAATCGTGCGCATGACTTCAGAATCGGCTCAATGTTCTATTCCTCTAGCAAAGGAAGCAGGAATGGGGCAACCTAGTGAAGAAATTACTGAAAAAGCAAAGAAGCCGGAAGAGAAGATTGCTGAAGAAATAGAACAAACTGTCGACAAGCTCATTGATACAGAAGTCACACTAGATTTCGAAAAACAAATGGAACATGAAATTATCGAAGTTTCGATTGTACGTGTCATCTTAGAATCGGCTCAATATTCTATTCCCTTAGCAAAGGAAGCAAAGATAGAGCAACCTGGACAAGAAATTGTTGATAAACTAGAGGAGCCGAAAGAGAAGATTGCTGAAGAAATGAAAGAAAAAATTGTCGACGAATTCAATGAGAGAGAAGTCACGTTGGATTTAGAAAAACAAATGGAACATGAAATTATCGAAGTATCGATTGTAGGTATCATCTTAGAATCGGCTCAATATTCTACTCCCTTAGCAAAGGAACCAAAGATAGAGCAACCTAGTGAAGAAATTATTGAAAAGGCAAAGAAGCCGGAAGAGAAGATTGCTGAAGAAATGAAAGAAAAAATTGTCGACGAATTCAATGAGAGAGAAGTCGCACAAGATTTAGAAAAACAAATGGAACATGAAATTATCGAAGTTTCGATTGTAGGTATCATCTTAGAATCGGCTCAATATTCTATTCCCTTAGCAAAGGAAGCAGGAATAGAGCAACCTGGACAAGAAATTGTTGATATACAAGAGGAGCCGAAAGAGAAGATTGCTGAAGAAATAGAACAAACTGTCGACAAGCTCATTGATACAGAAGTCGCACTAGATTTAGAAAAACAAATGGATCATGAAATTATCGAAGTTTCGATTGTAGGTATCATCTTAGAATCGGCTCAATATTCTACTCCCTTAGCAAAGGAAGCAAAGATAGACCAACCTAGTGAAGAAATTATTGAAAAAGCAAAGAAGCCGGAAGAGAAGATTGCTGAAGAAATGAAAGAAAAAATTGTCGACGAATTCAATGAGAGAGAAGTCGCACAAGATTTAGAAAAACAAATGGAACATGAAATTATCGAAGTTTCGAT